ATATTAACGTATGAAGAGTTTCTTACAGTTCTCATCCAGATAGAAGGAGTATTAAATTCAAGACCATTGTGCAAATTGACTGAAGATCCAGATGACTTAACAACTTTAACACCAGCTCATTTTCTGGTTGGTGGTGCTTTATCTGCTGTTCCAGAACCAGATCTAAAAGGAGTGCCACAAAATCGACTATCACGGTGGCAGTTATTGCAACAAATGAAACAAAGCTTTTGGAAAAGATGGTCTAAAGAGTACCTACAAAAAATGCAAACAATGTACAAGTGGAGATCTCCATCAACACCGGTGGAAATCGGATCAATTGTTCTCATTATCGATGAACAATATCCCCCATCAAAGTGGCCTTTGGCTAGAGTGATTGGCGTTCACCCCGGACAAGACAAGATAACTCGAGTTGTGACACTTCAAACTGCTACTGGGATATTGAAAAGACCGATTGTAAAGTTGTGTCGTCTACCAATATCATCTGCATGCTGATGCTCTCTTTTTCTTTTGGTGCGGGAGAATGTTAAAAGAATTGTATTTAACATATGTTCGTTTACAATATTTGTAAACATCTCAGTTCATTGTTTTTCATACCAAATAAAGGTTCATAATCAATTTCTTCTGTTTAATATCTTCATCTTTTTACAATATGGAATACGTAAAATTTAAAGGTGTTCACGAGATTTTTGACTTGATAAATGGGGATGTATGAAGCATCTGTAAAGTTTGATGGGGACTGCTTCGAAGCAGGGTAACCATAATTAAGCAGATAATTCTGTAAAAATAATTGACCGGTATGATGGTAATACTATGGGTATAAGCAGTCCACATAAATACAAATTCAGATAATTTATACATTTTTTATATTTAAACGTTCAGCTTCATACAAAATAGAAATTCCGGTTTTTGAACGTCATATCATATAGCGTAGATTATGTATAGGTATTTCATAAGATATTTAGGTTCTGTTGGATCAAATGTGCCTGCCTAAAATAACAATAGCGTGTCAGAAGCTAATACAGTATATCCTAGATATCGGATATTTGGCACATCATACCTTCGTGACGAAACACATTCGGATTATCTTCTCTATAACATGACTGTGAGAACTTACACTCTTACACCTGGCAATTCAGACATTGCAGTGGTTTCTTTTTTGAAGGTGACTTTTTTGAAGGCGATGTTTGAAGTTTTTTAAACACTCGGCTACCTAGGACCTAGACAATTCATTTGAAAACCACCTTCAAAAATATATAAATATAACCATTGACTATACACCTCTACTGTAGAGGTGTATAGTCAATGATATAACAAATTAATTAATTATATATTACACTTTGATGACAAAAGCATTTTTGTTATAAACTATTGTTCAAATTATGTCTTATAAATTAACAAAATTTCCTGCCTAACAACAGGAGAATGTAAGAAGCTATTCGGAACAAACACGCTATTATTAATATCACATTTTGCATAATATTGCATTGAAAACACGCTAAGTAAAACATTAATTGCTTACATAGCATGGAGTGTTTAATTTAAAAGTATGATTCTTTTCTTACTTAAAGAAGCTTTTTCTCTTTTACTGTCTCGGTGAAAAGATATTCAACTCATCCCAACTTAAATTAGTTAATTTTAATGCATTAAGTTCTAGTGGTATTACTGTAAAGTTTTGCATATTCGAGGTATTTCTTTCCTATGCTACATAAAGCAATCCTAAATAATCACTGAAACTAACTACGGAATCACTTTTTTTTTTTTTAAGTCTGGTATATTACTGTATTTTTATTAATTTATCTAAGAGTTTCTATGTTACAGGTTCATTAAACTCTAGCAGAAATGTGTATACTAAATTCCATACAATAGGAATGCAGTTCAAATTATACCACATTTATTCTACTACAATAAACTGGGCGTGTAAAACATTCATAACTACATAATACCACAAAGTCGCAATAAATTGTAACAAAAAGTACAATGAATCATCCAAAGTTAAAACCAATGGGAAACAGCCAAGCTTGTTCATCAGCTAAGTAAGATATATTAGAGCCATATATTCTCAGTGATCCGGACCAAAATAAGGTTAGAGGAAGGGTCTTATTCGTATGTAAAAGTGGACCTTTTTGTTCATGCTTAAAATATCAACTGAATATCATTTGGAGCTTATTTAGTTTTACTACATACAATAGAAATAACATCATACTGTATATATCGTTGGTTTGAAATAAAAACCCATTAGCCATCTAGGCTAGCCTGAAATAAGGTCAATCATAAAACTAGCCAACGTATTCTCAAATACCTAATCATATCACAAATGTTATCGTGGTGCGCCCAGTGGACGTCTAAAGTTTCAACGTTTTTACATTATGGAAGAATTGCAGTTAAATATTGAATTAGCTGTGTAAAATTCTATTTGACTGGTTAAGAGTGGAATAATTTACAATATTATTATTGTTTTAAATAATGAATTTGGTTTCTTTTTATGTTAAAATTAAACAATTTAAGCCCCTTAAGTGATAATCAGCTTGTTGTTAACAACATCCATTTTCAAGAATTATTTATAAGAATGTATCTTTTGATTGTAGTACAACAGTCTAATGTTATACAGATTTGTAATTTATTGCATAATGTACACCTGAATGTATCGCTTAGCTTTTGGCCCTACTTAAACATTGTAAATGTTTTGTAATATTTCTTTAAACCCTTCCAAATTTGCTAACTAGAGACTGGAAGGCAATTTTTATTTCCAAAGAGAAAATTATAGTCCAACCACCAAAACTAACTTTTATGATGGTTGGTAAAATTACATGACTGTATTAAATTAATGTTGCATAATTTAGATTTTCTTTTGATTTTTAGAATAAGTACTTATACAAGTTTTCAACTATTATTTATTTATTTTATCCATACATCTTTTTGATTGCATGGAGCATTATTATTTGTTTATTTTATTCATACAACATTTTGATTGCATGGAGCTTTAATTAATTATTTATTTTATCCATACATAGTTTTGATTGCATGGAGCAATATTATTTATTTATTTTATCCATTCCTCAGTTTGATTGCATAGAGCATTATTATTTATAAATTATTTATTTTATCAATACATCGTTTTGATCGGATGGAGCAATATTATTTATTAATTTCATACATCAATTTGATTTTATGGAGCAATATTATTGTTTTAGTATCCTTCGATTGTAATCTAATTTTCGAATGTTTACCTTTGGGATGAACACAAATTTGCATCTTAAACAAAAGTTATTTTGTTTGAGACAGTTATTAGGTTCATAAAACTACTCATTTACAATATATTAAATTTATATCTTTAAGTTCTACAACATGAAGAGGGATTTACATACCTCAATCAGGTTACAGTTTTTAAAATAGTAGTCTGTTTCAAATTCATATAGCAAATTTAAAAATCACACTTACCACAAAAAGGTAGGCTAATAATAATCGTATTTAAAGTCGTAAACCTAGGTTAAACTATATAAATATTGTTTATAACTAACATATATTTTGGAGATGAATCCTGTCATATCGATCATGCAGATTGCACCATACACGATACCCATGCGTTCTATCGGTGTTTTTAAGAACTTCGTCATACAGAATTAGCTTTGAAGAGAACATTGTATTTAGAAGTTAACGTCAAATCCTGTTATATTTTACTGCTGGCAATTTAAATATTTGTGTTTCCCTAATACTATACGTTTCTTTTATGCTTCATTTTTAGAAAATTAATATTAAAACTTTATCATCCGATAGGCCAAAAACAATGTTTTGTAAATATAAATTTGTGAAATATAATAACCCCCACATGGTAATCCTGTATAGTGCATGCTACGAAAATTTTCTGCTGTAATATTCCTTTTTTTACTAAACCAAGTCTAAAATGGATGACAAATTTAGACCACAAATAGGATCACTAAAAAAATATAAATATATATTAATATTATATTGAGGGATTGGGTTGTATTTCAAGAAGAACCTACAAGTATTTTTTTTACTTTAAATGCCAACTATGAACTAAAAGAATGTATAATGAATTTAATAAAGGTTTATCCATAAACTAGAAACATATATTAATTTATTACTCTTATGATTGGAGACGAAATACAGCGAAGAGCTCTCTGAAAATATCATTGACGATTCAGGTGAAAAAAAACCCTAGTATGGCCCTTATATGACAACTTTGTTGTATTTTTAAACAACTTTGAGTAATCCTGGGTCCTACTATAAACACAAAACAAATAACAGTTTCTATATAGATCGTCATTAAAAAGATGGAGTGGAAGACCAAGACAGCAAGACAGCATTATTTCAAATCAAATATTAGCGACATGTTGTCCATAGAAGATGATGGCCAATCACAACTTCTGTCGTTGTGTGCTTGGGCATAGTTTCAGCATCTATCACTATACTAGGAGCGCTGTTGTCGCACTGTTTTATAGTAGAGACTTTAGTAACTAAATCAGCTGGATAATTTATGTTATTATTATTATTTATTATTATTATTTATGGATATTATTATAATCCTAAACATAAAAGAAGGAAATAATAGATATTATAATTTAATATGTCTATTTGATCGTCCATAGTTGTCCCGTTGGACTAATTATACTGTATAAACAATTTAAGTCAGGCAGCTAAAAACAATAGATTTATTCAATGATTGTTTCATGTTTTTAGTTAGAGGAATGTCGTCAAATTCAGGTAATTACCCAGCTGGAAACCTCGTCATGAAGAATAAATAAAATGGATTCACGAATGAATAACAGTAAAAAAATAAACAAACAGCACTGAATGCACTGGTTGGGTCAGATTTTCTACTTACTAACTATAATATAGTAGTTATATATGTAGTTATTAGTTTACCCATTGTAAATAAACAGCATATAGATATAAGTAGAGTAAGCCTAAATAGAAAAATATAGTGTAAGTGCTATACCAATTTCTAAATATTCCATGGATTATAATCAACGACTCAATCATAAGTAATAAATATGTATTTGTTCCAATTTAAGAGCCTATGAAGTGACGACAGGAAGTGGTTTCCAGTGGTTCCATGTTTGGATGAGATTATAAAGATTTTCTCCAGGACATTCTGTAAACCTCGCCTGCCTGTGACCAATCAGCTGATAGTCAGGTCGTATGTAACCTTGGGAGACTCCATAGTTGATCAGCTGACGACATTGGCACAACATATCCTCTGATGGTAACTCGTCTGGAAACACGTACGATTTATTTAAAGTAGTAGCTTAAGAATCTAATGAAGTATAACTCATAATTATAAGTGCTACGTCCATTGAGAATAAAAAGACAGCAATATGTTATAAGTGAATGGAGAATTAGGCATAATAATATAATAGAATAAAATAAACTAATGTAATTCATTTTTAAACACTTCTATAAAGACTCAAAAACACACTATCAGCAAAACTAACGTTTATTACTCCGTAATTCATCACATAATCTTTTATTTCTAGGAGCATGTCTTTATAAATAAAGTTGCGTAGAATTCCCTAAAGCAAGGGCAGGTTACCTGTGTAGTCTCCGATGAAGACTATACCGATGCTTCTAGAGTTGTATGGAGGGGCGTGAGCTCCAACCCGACTCCAGCCCCGACCCTCGAACACACGATCCATCCCGATGGCAAAACTATATAAGACAATAAACATTTGATTCAAAATGCAAACTAGTGTTATTAGAATAAATTGTGAAATGTTTATCCCTGTTGTCTGTTCCTGCTCGTGGTCGTGGCAATGTCGTTCGAATCGGTAGGCCTACATAAATTTCCTTTATTCGTTCTTATATATGTGTCTTCGTATATGTGTCGTCGTGCATGTATCGTTGTGTGTGTGTATGAACTACATGTCTACCTGACGAAGCTATAATAAGTGTATTTTGCTGTTCCTGTACAACAACAGTTCGAAAATAATGACATTCTGCCAAAACAAATGTAACTGAGATATAAACTATAATTTTGGAACTGTAGACGAGGTAATAACCGTCACCTTATTTAAGTCTCATACCGATATTCAGCTTAAATACTTGCACAAGGTACATCGTTGTTCGTAATTCAGAGATTAAGATTATTATTTAATAAAATCTATTTTATTAAAATAAAAAAAGCCCAGTAGCTGGAAAATATCTTAAATTGTACCTTAACCTCGTATGTACCTCTGTCAATTTGTATCCCCGCCTACAAATGTACAGTCTTTATCACAATAATTGCAAAATGTACTTGTCTGGACGGTAAAATGTAAAGCAAGATGTTAAACCTACTAGGACTACTCACAATGTGTACTACTACTATTAGTTGAATAATAATTAACAAAATCAATTGTAGGACTTCTATTAGGAAATTGATTACCTTTTTTGGCAATTTTTTAGGTAACCTTTGGAGCAACGCATTGGAAAAATATTTTAGGAAGTGTTTGGAGGATTATTTCCCCATTTAGAAATGTTATAATCCTTTAACTTGTAATCTTTATTTTAGCTAGCAATTTTACCTGTAGCCAATGTCGTCCCACCCTCTATCGTCCATGTGGAAGTTCTGTATGTAGCGTAAAGCCTCCTTGCACTTCCCCAACGTGTGACACTTGGCTGGTATGTGGGTGTGGTGGATAACCACGGTGTCCACGGGGTTGGACATGGGTTGGGTTCTCTTTGGAAGCCGAGCACCCCAGTCCTTCCTAGGCACAAGGGTTAGACTGCAACCGTCTGTGGAAACATAGTATGGTGTATTGATAGTTTAGTTGTAGTGAGTTACTACCGGAGAAGAAAGTGGATGTTGTGGCAGAGCAAGGGACTTCGTTCTCCGAGGTCCCGTGTTCAAACCCCGACAGTGGATTAACTGTGGTGAAATACCACGCGTACGGTCTAGCCTGAAATAAGTGTAAACAAGTTACGAGAGTCCTAGAATGTGGAGGTGGAATTTAGGAAACTATAAATCACCGGGAATTTTTCAGTCTTTGTCGTAGTCTTACTTTTGTCTCAAAGGTAGTTAATTATTTTATCAAACATGTTTTTGCAATAGTATCAGGGATATGATTGTACCTTTCCACGCAACAATTGCAAGCTACTTAGTGCAACGTTTTTAATTTTCGGTATACATATTTAAATAATTGTCTGTGATCCGTTATATTTGTAGTTAGTTGCCTGTTAAATTTTGACAGTAGACAACATAATAGCTGGATATCTGACTAGATATAGCCTAGGAATCATAGGTAAGTATATTTATGTTGGTTTGAAATTAGACTATTAAATGGTCCTGTCTATACAGCAGCTTGTTGCACTGATTCTGTATAACCACATATTCCGTCTTATAATGTACGTGTTTTTTAAAATCGTACCTTTAATATTATTATCCCTATGGAGATAACAATATCTTAAGCATGGTTTGGTTTTTAACGGGTATATCTTGAAAGATTGAACAACAAAAAATATATCTTATAGGAATGCTTTTAACAACAGGGCGTCTTTTGGATGTTTTGTTTTGTGTCCATAAACGCATAACCGAAGCTGAACTAATGACCTTTATAACCTAGTAATTTAAGTTCCATACAAAAAGAAAAAATACAAAACGAATTATAGGTCTCGATTCTTATACAGACGTGACTGTCTTTTTTAAAGGGTAAATCTTTTGGGAAATTTTCCATTTAAAAGTGTTTACTTTTTAGGAGTCAAGTGGTCGAATAAGAATTTGGCGAACAACCAAAAGTTTCCTTTTTGTCAACTGCATGGGAAGTCTACACGTCTACTTGCTGTATCTGAAGTCGATGTTTATAACAGTTTAACTGGTATTGTTTTGATTCCGTTTAATCGAAAGAGTTTATTATCTAACAACACTACATGACCTTTATACTACCATTACGTATACACACTACTTAGCAGTAAACAAACACTTCATTCATTATGTGAATCATCCACTTAAGATAAGGAAGATACACATCCCAACGTACCTACTAACCTACTGATACAATAATAAGAATTACAAACAAGTAACATTCTCTTATAGAAAATCGGAGTCTTCATATCAATTTAATCCTATGACGGTCCATCTAATTTCTCGATCATCACCATAACGATCATTTTTGTAGTTTTTTGCTCTAAAAAGAATGAATAATTATTTTGGTAACATTTGGCGGGAACCGGAACAGGTAATTCCCGCGCTGTGGCCGTCACCTGTGAGTGATTGTGGTTATTTGATGGTCAGCAAATTCTCTGAATAGCCTATAATTATGTCGCAACCGCTGTACCACGTTTTTATGTCTAATTTCCAATATTGCAGGACTGAGGGAAGATTATATTGAGCAATAATATAGTGTACAGTACTTTGTATCCAATATAATATTGTCTGGTCCAATGTTACCTTGTCCATTAGTAAGCTGTCACGTCAAGTAAAACACTACAGTTTATAAAATATGAATCCCGTGTCCTACTTCACTCTATCGCGACTAACTTTGTCATGGATTAAGAAATTAAATAAAGATTCTATAACCGTAAGTTATGACAATGATGTTATTGATACGTTTTAATGCTAAGAGTAAGACAATTCAATGTAGGTCACACTTTTTTGTATAAATTTTGTGGCTTTCTGTTTTTAAATTCGAACTACTTAACAAGTGTTTGGATTAGGCGGTATAGTACGTCTTCCCGTTGCGAAGCACGGGTTCAGAAGCTGGTTTTAAATCAAATGATTCTGTTTCCAGCATACACTATGGCAACAAATTTAACAATATGCTCGAAATGAGATACTATCGTATCAAATACAATAGTTTGTGCTAAATGTTTCAAAATAGTTTTCACTGTTAGTTTTGTGATGACTATATAATTTCATTGCGTAAAATATACTATATCTTGTCATTATCAGGCTAAAGGTAGTCAAAATGGTAGGGTTGGCTAGTTTAGTTTGCGTCCCATAGACACGGATGTTTCGTAATATTATGCAGTTAAATATTTTAATAGACCGTTGAATAAAATGTATCAAACTCAAAGTTATTTCTTGAGCCATATTAACAATCATATTTTCATAAGCCAAGTCTCGTCAAAGAAATTACATTTCTTTTAAACATGAAAAAAATAATAATATACAATACAAATATGTACATTTTGTATCACAAAACAACGTTAAATTTTCAACTAAAACTACCACGGATACTTTCATAAGTCTATCAAGATGGAGTTAACGCAATTTTCTTAGGTCCTGTTTGGCTTTTGATTGAAGAAGGGAGTTATTAAAAAGTTTGACTGCATTGAAGTGCAAGTTTTTTCCTGAACGAATGGAGTGGAGTGCAGTTGTACTGAAAGGTGAAACCAGTCGCGAATATGGCATCTATGGAAGGTTGGAGTATTATATTATACGATGATGGGATTTTCTTAAGGAATAATACAATTTCTAAGATGCAAATGGACGAGAAAGAACTTTATGTGATCTGAAAGATTCCTGGCAGTAGTTTAAACTACTTATTTAGAGCTTAAATGCACACAGCTATTAAATAACTACTTTAATTTGCAAAATAGCTAACACATGAAAAATACACACGTATTGCCTACCTGCATTATACAGCGCGACAATACTAAACAACAACACAGACAAATTCACCAGTAAAAGAGAAAATAAACTGACCCGTCTGCACATAACGGCGGGAAGCGTCAACAGCTGACTGATTGTTGAACAGCTGATTGACACACGTTATCTCACCATTCCGGGGTTTTACACAACTCTCATATCATGACGACTTTGCAAACCTCAATTACTGAATAATTACTATCTTGTTTTAAATTACCAAATACTTTTATCTATGAAGCCCAATTTGTGCGAGCAACAAAACGTAAATATTGTATTTAAGTATTGTATTGTGCTGTGTATTGTGTATTGTGCATTGTGTATTTATTGTGTTGTAATGTATTGCATTTATGTATTGTATTGTATTTCTATATTAAAATAGTTTATATTGTATTTAGTTACATTTATTGTTTAATTTATTTATGTTTTATAATTCCTATTGTTTATAACATAACCATGTTTATTGGTGTGTTTTCGTAGTGCACATTACTATCGAGTATTTAGATATTAGTTGATGAACTAAATTTTAACAAATACAAACTTAGTTTTAATTTAAGAAAGTAAATTTGTAAGTTTTTCAATAATTGTATAGGCTACTCCCTATAGTAATAATATTACTCATTTTTAATAGCACGGCTATTTCTATTATTCATTGCAAAGTACCCATTTTTTTTAGCCAAAAGTAAACTAAGTAGGCCTAAATATATTTTATTTAGCGAACTTGTTTGTCCATAATTCATTAGTATGATAATTTGTCATTCTCCATTCTCCATTCATTAGTATGGTAATTAGGAAATTTATCTTCTCTATGTAGTACATTCCAATAAATGAAATTTTAATATTCTTCTGCTCAGTATGCTTAAGTCTACTTATAGATGTACTTAGGAAACTATGGATATTACTTCCAACTAAAAAAATGAAAATGAGATTTTAGGCAAGTGTATCTAAACTATAAATTTACTTTAAAACAACAAAATATAAGTTTTTACTGTAATTTGGATAGCATGTATATTACTGGATGAATAAGTGTTAATATGCAGGATAATCGAACTAAATGTACTGCATACCATCTACTGTAGTCACTAATACAAGAATGGTATTTTGTGTAGCAAAACAGCAGTTTTTGTTTTCATAAGGTTAAGGAAAAAAATATGTAAATAGGTATAATGAAATCACCAATGGAGACTAAAGTGTTAAACTTAACTAGTATATTTTTGATATTTTACCGTAATGGAATATGACCTTTAAATCAAAGTTAGGTTAGCTAATTAACAAAATGATATCAAATTCGTGCAGAGCGTATTAAACCAAATGTCATATACCATATTTACCATAGGTAATTAAAAATATAGATAACTAAAAAAATGTGAAACCCTTCACGAATTCCCGTGTTATCGCTGTGCAGGGCCCACGTTATTTTTTTCTGTATCATGCCAATAGTTTAATTTCATTAATTATACAGGGGAGATTATAATCAATGATAATAAATAATATGTACTACATTACTTCAACATATTGCCACTTATATGAACAGGTTAGTTTATGGACAAAAACTCTAGAAAACTATGTCAATTATCATACAAAATTTAAAATTTTAATTCTGTTTGCTGTGATTTATCTACCAATTAATTCGTCAGTTTTTCACATTACATATTCGGCAATATTGTCTAAAAATAATTTAATACGGAACAACAATATCGGCTAGAAAATCGGTTAGTCTATGCAGGAAAACAGGTATTACAGATTGTATGGTATGTGCAGCTCCCTAGCGACTATTTCAGAAACTACAAACAATACTGTGTTATGAAGATCGTTGTATTTTTTCGTCGGTAGTGAAGATTGTGCTGTGTTTGCAGCACTCTATCGACAGCTAGGAGAACTATCAATGATTTGCCAATGAATAGAATAGTTATTTCAGCGTTCGTATTAGCTTTTGCTTCTCGATAATGGAGTATATTCCATTATTTATATAGACCAGCTTTCGTTATCTAAAAAAAAGAAAAAAGTTATGTGAGCCAGACACAGATTATGCTAGTGTCTTTACACACTATTTCTGTTTTTGTTTTTTTTGCTTCCGAGATAGTTGAATTGACATAAAGCATACTATATTTACAAAAAGTTTTTCTGTCTTTGTCATTGTCTTTGTCATTTTGTTGATTAGTCCACTAATCAACAGAAATCAGTCATTTACATCAGCGCAATAGGTTAAAAACTGGCGTTAGGCCCAACTTAACATGGGAATGCAATATCTAGTTATAATAATAGTCAAAGGTGTTAGCATAAACAAGGGAATTAGTAGTCTATTCTTTTTGTTAATTATTTTTAGAACAATTAAACATTGAATCATCATAAACAATTACAACCAATTTTTTTCGCATATCCTATATTTCATACTTTGAAAATAATTATCAGCTTTAAGTATAGTAGTCTAGTTAAGTATGTTATATTGTAGTGTAGTTAATTATATTACAGTGAAATCAAAATTCTACTTATTTGTTAAATGAGTAGCATGCCAAACTAAAGAAGCAATTTTGAAACGTCCAATTAAACCGACAGAGATCGCTACTATAAAATGTTTTACGTGGTCTCATAGGGTTTAGGCATCGAAGTATATTTCGATGGGTTTAGGACGGGCGAGTTCCAACGGCTATATGCAGCCGATCAAAAACTAAACGGACCCCGTTATTTAAACGAGCTTCGATACACGTTGCTAGGGTAATGTAAAATACTTTTTGGGGATATTTTGAAATTTACCCCCACCCCCCCAAATAGGGTTTGCTGGGGATAACTTAATTTATTTTAAAGGCCCCTATCAAATAGCACATCATTAGCATAATTTTGAAAGGGCTTTAAAAAGGAAATTAATGCCACAAATTCGACTTTGGTACGACGAAATTATAAAAAGTTATGGTAAGAAATGTAAGACGTTAATTTAACTGGAACTTTACATCCCATCACTTTTTTCATTGCTGTAAATTTGCAAATAACCTTCAGTACACGTGACCAGGGTTATGTCACGCACTTAATTCAAAATCATGTTAAAAAGGGCGTGACATCATAATTTTTATAATTTCAAAAATCTATGTTGATTTTTAAGTTAGACTTACAGTAAAGTTTCTATCCAGCAGTTTGCGTAAACAAAAATGAAAAAAAACAAAAACAAAAATGAGAAATGAAATAAAATATTTAAAATCATTACCAATTATACACATTCAATTCATGATACTTTATTTAAGCTCACCTAAGATTCTTCTGTAACAACCTAACTGCAAACAGTGTACAGCTTTCTAACAAATCCTAAATACTTTCAATTCTATAACCATTTCAAACCCACCTATGTGTTTTACCGCAAAAAGTCCACGGTTTTTGTTGCACCGCTCAAGTATTTCCCATAGTCAGACAGGCTGTTTCAAAAGGTTCCCTTTGGTATGTAAACAACAGCTGGTCGCCATTTTGATCGCCATTTACCGCTGTTTGCGGATTACATACGGATTATCCTCGCACCACCGTTATGAAATATTAAGGACAAGGACTTAACATGCCTGGCAATAAATATAACAACCCTTCATGCCTTGGGCTATGCGCTAGACTGGTGCGTTGGCAACGGCTCAACCTATAACAAAACTTCTTGTAAAATATTACATGTACACTCTGGACTAGATTGTGGGGATATTATTTGGATTGGTTGTCTTTATTGTAATAAATATTGAACTAATAAAAAACGTAGTTAAAAATATATATAAGTGGCTCCTTAACATTTTCTTGGAAACTCTCCTACGTCTTGGATTTTTTCGTGACTAACCAATTAAATTATTACTATTTCCTGTAAAAGGTCTAGTAAAAAATACACAAATGAAAATGTGCATGTGATTTGCAAATACAATATTTTGTCCAGAACACATTTCTGAAACTACAATCGAGAACCGAAGTTTACTATTTTCGAAGAGACTATATCCGGATTGAATGAGGACAAAGTGTAGGTGCTGGAATTTTTTTTTTTTTACTTGTTTTAGTACTTAAACATATTTCTGAATTCAATTTAAAATTTTCTTTCATCTCACACAAATACGATATTAAAAACCCAACTAGAACTTAACGGTGCGCTTGAATTTAATTTTTTTTCGCTTTGAACATTAATTTTATTTTTACAGCATGCTCCATCGGTTCCAATAGTTTCAAATATGATGAAAATTGAATGTCCTGATCTCTGAAGATTATTAAATCAATGCAGGCCAGAAGAACACCGGTCTTTAAATCCCCTAAGCTGTACAGAACTATTCAAAGCATAAAATAAATCCGAAAAGATATAGATCGCAATGGAAACGTGATGAAATACCTCAAGAGGAGCCACACGATTTTTTTTACATATTATTACCAATCAGCTAAAATACAGAATCTGCATAAAAATAACAAATACCAACCCGTGAACCCCAACTGCCCCAAACGACGCGTCACACTGCCCTATATCTGTAACGTCTGTATTAACAGAATACATTACAACGACCCGCCTCTTCTATCCCAATTCTCACGTTATTGCATTCATATACGACTGTTCCAATGAGAAGGATTATGAGAAAATTATACATTTTTGAGTAAAAGATGGGCAGTAATCGGCTTTAGGCGGCAGCTGCCCTTAAATGGCACACGTCCCACAATGGGCCGCTGGTTTTGGGGCAAAAACTGTCAATATAGATTTTATTGGATTACGGTGAAAAGTGATACAGCTGCTAACAATGTCAATTATGGGATTTGTCGAGGGGAGGATTTTGCGAAAAAGGAAAAACAGTAATGCGAGAAAGGGGGTGGTTTCTGGACAGTGGCTTACTTCGGGTTTTGCTAAAAGTTTTGGGTTTCAAACGTTTTACTTTATAGACAAACATTCTCTAGATTTTTTTAAATTCTGTTAATACTCTCTGTGAACTACGTCCAAAACCATATTCGAACTTTTACTTTGATATGCTTGTTAAGTTTTATCTAAATTTTATCTTAAACAGGTAGGATTAAATAGGAATTACGGGTGTTCTTGTTGTTGAAAGACTGGGACGGTGGCGACGTTCTGTAATCCAGCTATACGAGGTCACGAATTG